ACTTTCCAACACTCTGTGCGGACCCTTTATCCTGATCAGACCCTGCTTCACCTTCTCATTTCCCTTCTGTGCTAGGCATTCGGGGCTGGGAAAATTGAGCCGAGTCATCCCATTTGGCTACCGTCCCAGAGCCGCAGTCCCCGGACCCGCGCACGCCAACACCTCTGCACGTGACGGCCGCAGGTAAGGGGCGGCCCGGTGCAGCGGGAAGACGCTGCAACCACTGGGGCTCCCCAGTCCCCTCTGCACTGTCATTCTGGTCACTGTTACCATATCTGAGCGGGTTGATGTTCTCTTTGCAAAACTGAAGTGGGTGATGTGGACCATGATAAATGGATCACAAGCTCTGCCAATCTAATCATTATCGATCCACCTATGATCAATACATGGGTTGTAGATCATTATGTTCCATCAGCTAAGAGCTTCAGGATGAAGAGAGCTGAAGGGAAGATACTGGTGCTTCAAACGCAAGTGTTTCCGTAGTGTGCCAGCACAAGGCACCGTCTAAGAGCTGGACCTGTCCCAGAATATAGTGATGGAAAGTACCAAGCCAGGGGCTGCTTAGCAAGAGGCATGGGGCTTGTTTGAGAGAGTTTAGGAAAGTCTGAGGCATGAGCCAAGACAGGCCATTTGCATGAAGAAATTGCTGGACGTGTGCAGGCAAGTTGCATGGGCCAGGGTCTCAGGGAATCACCAGGGCAGGGTGAGCGGTGATAGCCGGTTGGTGGAGACAGATATGGTGCCAGCCGGCCAGCTCTCTGGAGGGCGCAGCAAAGGAACAGTGGCTCTGCGGGCACTTCTGTCTGGGAGAAAGCTGCCTCCGGCTCTCTCCCTGAAGCCAGGCAATTCAGTTTCTCCCTTCCATCCTGGTGCCTTTCCAGCTGCTGCCCCAGTACTGGAGCTCAGAGCGAGTGAGTCTGAATGAGTGGTGCAAGGGCCCTTTAAGAGGAACGCCTGCGCCTCCAATAGCCCTGTGTCTTTCTCAGTCACAATCCCTGCTGGTTTTTATAGCCAAAAGTTATGGGGACTTCTCTTCCTGGCACTGGAGCCTGGGCTGGGGGCCTGGTGTGGGGCTGGGACCTGTGCTCCCCACGGGTACCTCCGCCCCCGAGATATTCCTGCTGATTTTCATCTGCCTCACGTGGGTGTGGGAAAGGCCCATTTATGTGTCTACCAGTCTCCACGTGGCCTCTTTTGTCCTTTGTTGTAGGAATTCTGTCCAGCTAGATTTCAGGTGGTCCTGAATGATGGTTGTTCTGTAGGTTATTTGTGATTTTGATGTGGTTTGGGAGGATGTTTGCCACGTG